TGAAGATGGCTTAGAGATGCTTGAAAATACCATCGTTAGGGGAGTGTGTGTGTGTGTGTGTGTGTGTGTGTGTGTGTGTGTGTGTAATTAGCAAGGAAACTGTCAATTCCTATTTCCAAGTAAGGAACCATGAAGACTCCATCACACATACCCAGCCTCCGTTCTGCCTTATCCATTCTCCTGTGTGTTTCGTTATGAAGTCAGCAACAAAGTACGAAATCTCCTTGTAAGTATCCACATCTGGGGAGATCCGCTCCTTGAGCAGCTTCTTGATGAGAACACCTTCAAATGCGAATATGGTCACAATTCTGCCCCAGTTAATGACGCCGTCTTCAAACTCCTTTTCCATCACTTCGTTGAATATTGTCCTGGCAGTGTCTACAGACACGACACTGAAATTGTCCAAGCACGGCTTCAGATTCTTCTCCACTTCCTTTTGGACTGAAGAGGCAACATCTTGCAACACCCTGGAGGCTCTGCTGGGGCCAGTTCCGGGCTGCGGCACCTGCAGGACGTACTGCAGGTAGTCCTGGGCCAGCGTGTGGATGTACCCAAACTCGCAGTCGGTCATCTTCAGCCGGGTGGAGAGCAGCGTCTTGAGCGGGCTCACTGGGAAGTGGCTGAGAAACTCTGAAGCCAGAGTTCCAAACCCAGGAGGATGTGACTCACAATGACGTGTAGGGCCGGTGGAATTTCTGCTTGCATGACACAGAATCCTTCCTCCCAGGCATTTGCTGGCGTAGGCTGTGTGTGAAAGTGAAAGTTTAGAATGTGAAAGAGGAAAAAGGTTCCGAGGGGCCACTTCCTCATCCTGTATGTGGTTGATTCAGCTTTCCAAACTCTTAATTGCTGGACCCCTTGTTCGCTGCTAGTGAAACGTAACATGGTACAGCCCCCGTAGAAATCTGGCAGTTCCTAAAAAGTTAAATATAGAACGACCAGGTGACCTGGCATTTCCACTTCTAAGTGTACATACCCAAAAGAACAGGAAATAGGTACTCAGACAAATACTGAAACACACATGTTCACAGCAGCATTCTGTACAACAGCCAACAAGTGGCAACGACCCAAATGTCCCTCACCAGATGACAGATTAACACATTATGGGACATTATTCAGCCATGACAGGAATGAAGCACTGACACTCGCTACAATGTGCGTGAGCCTCAGAAACATGCCACCTGAAAGAAAGCCACGATAGGAAATGGCTTTAATAAGTCAATCCAGAGACAGAAAGCTGGCCGGCGGCTGCCAGGGGCTGAGGGTGGGGTGGGGTGGTAACTGCTTACTAGGTACAGGTTTTACTCTGAGGAAGAAGTTTGGGAGTTACACAGAAGTGGTGATTACACCACACTGAATATATTAAGCATCACTGAGCCGTTCACTTGAAGATGGGTTATTTTATGTGAATTTCACGTGCCAAAAAAAAAAAAGTCTTAAATGCAGCCCAGTGGCTGAACTGTATTGATGAGAATTTGGAAAGGAGGGTAGCGAACACCTGGGTGACAGGGCACAGGCTCTCCAGTGGCTCTGGCAGTACCGCCCTGGCACTTTGGTGCCTGAGTGAGGGCGACATGGGGAGGGCAGACGGAAATATCTCCTCTGGTCTTCACCTGCCATTTACTCTAGAGCATCTGCTAGGTGGGAATCAGTTACCTACTGGGAATGTAACTTTCAGCCAGCGCCCTTAATTCAGGAATTACCCCGTGTATGGGTCAGAAAGAGCACTGGACCCGGATTCAGTGCCAGCCAAAGCCCTGGCCCCTCTGTGCGCCCGCCGTGTGTACAGTGAGACAGCACGTGTGGACCTCCGAGAGCTGGGGCCAGGGCCAACGGACACGACCTATCGCCACGCCTGTAACATTGCTAGCTCCCCACCTGTCACCTGGGCTGATGAGGAACCCGGCTCCCTGTGCGGGCATAACTTCATACCTGCACAGTCTGAAGTGCAATGCAAGTCCATCATTTTATCCGCTCAGGCAGTCATTCCGGGAAACAGCTGGCGGACATGGTGACACGACCGGGTGAGGGCGGCGCTGGGGACTTGGGGTGGGTTTCAAGTGTCCTGGCCAGAGTACAGGGCAATCACAGCATCAGGGGACCATATATATCCCTGGCTGCCAGTGCTGGTAGCAGGCAGGAGCAGTGCATGGGAGAAAGGGGACAAGCTCTGGGTCCCTGGAGAAATTGCATTCACTCTTTTTCTATCCGCATATGGAATGACTGATTCTTTGCATCAGGTTGTATGAACAGCTGCAAACAGGTAAAAAAGTCACATGTAACCTGTATTTCTGCACTATCACCAAAGGGGCTAAGGGGGAAAAGAGCTGCTTAGGGTGCTCGTTAAGAGACTTGTCGCCGCCCAGCCAGCGCTCCTACTGGCCTCCTATCAGGAATGTAACCGACCGGCCCGAGGCTCCGCCCTGCACGCACCGCCCACTGTGCACTGAGGCCACGCCCCCCCCCTCCGGGCTGTTCCAGCGGAAGGCTGAGCAAGGCTGGGCTGTACGTTCCCGGAAGTCAGCCCCCTCTGACCCCATGACTTGCCATCACCTTTGTGGGGGCTGAGGCTGCACACACCTTCCTCCGCTCTAATCTGACCCACGGCCAGCCTGCACTGTGGTCTGCCAGCCCTGCCAGCCTCTGCCACCTCCCTCCTCACCCTCGCTCACAGGCAGCTCCCGCAAGGCATCTCTTAGCGCCGCGTCCT